TCCGAAATATTGCATAAACGCTCGTGGTTTAATGCAATTTGCACGAATTTTAGCACGAAATTGTTCATTTCCAATTATTTTCTATTGAATTGACAAATAAATTTTATTTCCAACACAAAAAGTAAACAAATGACGATTTCAAAACTGCAAGCGCCTTACAATGTTGGGCGCTTCGATTCATGAAGCTTTTATGATTAGGCGCAAGCATGATTTTGAATCGTAATCTACAGAGCTTCATTGAAATACATGGGTTCGGCATAAAAGCTTTATACTTTAGTATGCCGAAACGACTACACTACTTTGATTAGGAGCTTAATGTGCGGAGTGCCTTCGATTGGGAAGACCAGACTTTCTGGAATTTTGGTCAAAATACGCCTGCACCATTACTCTCGTCATCCATTTTTGATCCGTCGGTATACCATGCTTGGCACCTTTCGTCCATCATAGTTACTATCACTTCACAGCAGCCCCTTTCAGGAATTCTGACCTTGTAGGGTTTGTAGAAGGATAACTCGATATTAGCCAAGAATGGCTTTAGAAAGACCAATAGGTTAGTTTTGGTGATATTCTTCAAGGCTTACAATGAAGTCTCTGTCAGGTGGACAATGGTGGACTATTCGCGTAAACAAGATTGCTAAAATATCTGGAGGTACATATTTTATATTTTTCGCAAATAACTATTATTGTCGCGAAACCTACCAAAATCCAATCTAGCCTACCAACCTACCTACCTATAGAAAAAAACCTACCAGTTTTGGTAGGAAAAGCCCGTGTTTGGCAACACTGATTACCAGTTTATATTACATAGTCACCCGTATTCTTTCAAAAAACCGTATTAAAACAGCACAATGTGTATGGAAACATACATATCGAGGGCTTATATTCAATACGACCTAATATACAAAAACTATTTTCTGATGTTAGAATGCATCTGAAACTTAACTGTTATCACTGGTTGCAATTTTAATTTCGTAATTCAATAGTTTATTCTTCTGACAAGCGATATAAAAGGTCAGCGTTAAAATCGGCTGACTTCCAAAACGTCAATTGTATTACATACGTACAAAGTTGAATGTTCCATACCGCCGAACTACAATTGGTAGACAATGTACACTTTTCCAAAACGCATCCGAAAAGTTATCGAAACGCAGCGCTAGAGTAATCATCCCTACAAGAATTGTGTGATGGAAACTAACACATTCTCATTTATCTTACTAACACATTTGCAAATTTTGCGTTGGTTAAAAAGAGACCATTAAATAAGGCCATAAGTTGGGCGAAGACGGAAGATCACATGTACACAAATGTTTACATCAGATTTTTCACACTGCCCTTTAGAATTTGATAGAAACTTGTAGGTAGCCAGTGACAGAAATCTCTATCAGTCTTGCCACTCAAATGATTTGTCAAATGATAGTCACTGCCCTGCAAGAACGATGACAGTCATTTGACCGGTCATGTGATATTCAATTGTGATAACAATTTCTGTCCATGCCTGGAAGCAAGTTTCTATCACATTATTAAGGTCAAAATGCAAAAATTGATAGAAACATTTGTGTTCGTGTGATGCTGCATCCTTTTCTAACAGACTAGTTATACAAACTTGATCAGCATATAGCCGCACTGTTTACTCGAACGGTGTTTGGCATATAGACTATAATCATCAATGATGGAAATATTTGTCAAGCATGACTAGCATACTTGATGTAAACATTAGACCATTGTGACCGTCATACGTGATATAAAAATGATGCAATTGTGACCATCATACGTGATATAAAAATCATGCAATTGTGACCATCATAGCTGATGTAAAAATCATGCAACTGTGACTATCATACCTGGTGTATAAAACATGCCATTGTGACTATCATATGTGATGTAATAATTAATCAACAATGATTTCTCTTGTTTGATATAAATATTGATAACGCGTGTTAATCACAGTTGACGCAAACATTTTCTATAAATTAATAAATATGTATACTTTGTTCAATAATAGAAAATTTTAACATATTTTCACAAGTTTTTAAATGATAAAGCGTTCAATTACGCAAAATCTGGTAATAATTTTTTGTTATTGAGCAAAGGTATTACAAGTTGTCTTTCAATTTGTTGAAAATAAGGTTTATTTAAAACACATAACGATTTATAATTAAAAAAATAAGTCAATTCATTTCATTTTTATGGTTTTTTTTAGGTTTTTTCTTTCTTTTTAATTTTCTTACTTATTTCATTTCAAATTTTATAATTATTATTATTATTATTGTCTTTTTATTATAAATTATTATATGTTTTTATTTATATTATTTTATTTTACATTATTTTGCTGTATTTTTATTTTTGTTGCGTAGATAAGTGCGCTGCTTAATTCTATGATGACTCAGCAAAATAGATTTTTTAACGCTGAGCTCGAAACTCCTCGATCCTTGTTTTTTAAATACGTCTAAATTAAATAAGAACAAGTTATTAATAATTTTAACAGTACAAAGTTAACTGTAATGTATACTTCGCAAAATGGTATCGATGAGTGCCAACTTGCAAAGGGACTTTTTCTCCCACCTTCCGTCCCAGTTAAACCCCTGTGGCAGCTCGTCAGAAAAAATATTTCGCATTATGGTCGCGACGTCTTCAGATGCCCCTTTGACTTTGTGGAGGAATGTCGTCTTTAAAAAAGATTAAAACAAAGGAATTATGTAGGTTCCAACAAGGGATATTCAAGAAAAATCTTTGATTTAATTACCATTGCTTGGGCATACTCCGGGCATTGCAGTTTCTCCTCCACTTCAGCGACTGCCGTCTGAGACTGCAGCGGCAACGTGCTCGCGATGTCGTCCAGCTCTTTGTCCTGGGTCTCACCAGTCATGCGGAACACCGATTCCGTCACCTTTTTGAGCATGACCTTGCACTCGCTTATTGCCTTATTTTGTGCAAGCATTTCACTCTTTTCAACAATCTGAAAATAAAGAAATTTTTACGAAATTATATTTTAATAAATCGTAGAATCGAGAAACTAAATATCAAAAGAAACCAGCATAAGGATGTCAAACACTTACTTTTATTTTATTTATTATTTTATTTATTTTATTGGGCTCTTGTGACTTTATAATATTGATAACCTTCATAGGTCCTGTCGATTCACTAAAACAAAAACTATCTTTCATTTTGTTCGGATTTAAATTAAATGATGCAAATTTTGACTCGTTCTCTGAATTTAATTGAAGTCCCTGCTTTTCATGAAGTCTGAGATATATTTGCTGAAGGATTTTGTTGGGTTTACTTACAAGTTTTTTTATATATTGCATGAAGTTTTCGAACCTGTATGCTGAAAATGAGTCTAAGGGCCCAAATTGTTTAACGCAATCTGCTAAGTGAAGTAACCCATGAACATTAAAACTAACCAACTCATCACCATATATAATTCCAAAAATATTGACGAAATCTTGTAGCATTTGTTGGGAAACATTGGACTCAATTATGTGAGATTTTTCATTAGACAAAAGACGAATACCACTATGCAATAACAAAAAATGATAATACTGATCACTGCTGATACAATCTTTTAGAACGAATATTCCGGTATATAATAAAAACTGCCTAAACTCAGTCGACTTCCAATTATGAATTTCTTCTAAACTTCTAGATATGCGGACAAACTCTGATGGGACATATTTAGAGATAAAATCGAGCTTCTTGTTTATAATAGTATGATTTTCTTTTTTAATAATAAGTTTAAGTAGTTTCTTAGTTACCCCTAAGTCGACTAGGTGCATACTATCTAGGGGAAACTGCGACACCATTCCAAACCCTGATTCTTCTAAAATGCTTTTTTTTACTTTAAAATTTTCTAGGTGATGAGAGGGATTTAATCGTAATTTAAAACTTGTATCTGATCTTAGAGGGCCGATTTGTTTCTGAAAACAAATCCTATTATTTTTGTAATCACCCACCTGGCAACACTTGGAGCAACCGTTTTTGCCATTGTGTGATATTACTCCTGTCACATAAGCCCTAGCTGGGGAATCACAAACAAACAGACGGATATTAAATTGCAATACATTTTGTTTAAACCCTACTTTAACGCCATTTTCTCTAAGCACCTTTACTTCCGCACAAAAATTCGACATGAAACTATCTAAATTATTTGGTTTTTTGAATCCTGAAAAACACGCGATCATAAAGGGATTGACATTAGGAAACCCTACAATTGAACCCAGGATAGGCCATAAAACTCTGTTCGAACTTTTATAAAGTTTGAGTCCATCAAAACCTACATCTATAGAAACTTCAGTTTGTCCGTCTAAGTAGTTAAAAGAGCTCGAAAGAAAAAAATTTTGAATCCCTAAATACAAAAATTCACCACCCGAAATTTCTGAAACATTTATCTTTTCTTTGCTGGTATTTAATAGTGTTTTCGCAGACAGGGGAATATCATTGACTCCTATTTTATGCAACGTTCTCAATAAATCCTCTAAAGCGTTTTGAGAAATATTATTCCTAACAGCCCATGATTTAAGTTCGTCACACTTTTTCTTTGCGTCAATATTTTCTGCAGGGAAACTTAAAGCTAAAGAAGTGGACGCTTCGGGCTCTACATCCAAACTATCGGTGGCCAAAAAATTACTGATCTGACTTTCATTATCTACTTCAGGTGGTGAAGCTACAGGATCGGGTTCACTTGTGGATATAAGGGGAATACTTTTCACAAAAGCCCTCGAATTTTCTTCACTTTCACTACCCGCACATTCCACTTCTAGCAATCTTTTATAATTTTTAACATTGGACTCAAATGTCCTTTTTTCTTTATAAAGACAATTTTGAAAATGTCTTCTTTTCATTTTTTTACTTATTTTTATCACGCTTCTCTTATTTGTTTTAAATAACAATTTAATGTTCGCTCAAATTTCACGTCTGCACGCTGCCACAATTCCTTTTAATTTAAGCGTCAGCGCGCTTTTCTTCGAACTCCTAAACTGTCATAAAAAATGCAACTCTGTCGAATATATTAGTTGTTTCACTCTCGCATCCACATTTGCAATATCGTAAAAATAAGAGCTTTATGGTCTTTTTTTAACCAACGCAAAAATATTAGAAATATTTTCAAATGTGTTAGTAATAAAAATACCTATGTATTAGTTTCCATCATACAATTCTTGTAGGGTGTTCTTGCTGCAGCGCATCAGAAACAAAGTTGCCGCTTCGTTTGTTTTTGGTCCATTGGTGTTTTAAAAATAGAAAATTCCGAAATGGTGATCATTGTTTTATTAAATATTCAAAATATGCAATGTATATGGTTGCAATGTTTCGCAACTCTGCATATATAAACAGTTTAAATACCGCAGTAGAACAGTATCCAAACATTGTATTGGTACGTTTTGGTAGTCAGCCATCATCGGTGACAGTTAAGTCTAAGGTGGATTTTTAGATAGGAATCTTATTGGTGTAAAAACTGTAGATAGATCATATTGAATATAAGCCCTCGATATCTTCTATTGATCATACCGAAGTTTACGTAAAATCAACACCTTTCCCACCATGAAGTTTAATTTCGAACCCATATATAATGGAAGAAGTGATTTTTCTTGGAACTAATTAGTAATAACACAGTGCTACAAAAAAACATAAAGTAGAAATACCTGGGAATTTATGTATATTTTCTGGTAAGTCTTTTCGAGTAAAACCAGAATCGAAATANTCCACCATGAAGTTTAATTTCGAACCCATATATAATGGAAGAAGTGATTTTTCTTGGAACTAATTAGTAATAACACAGTGCTACAAAAACAAACATAAAGTAGAAATACCTGGGAAGTTATGTATATTTTCTGGTAAGTCTTTTCGAGTAAAACCAGAATCGAAATATGAAATTTGCCAAACACCCCCAAAATCTTTATTTACCGTTAAACCCGGTTTTTCGTACTCTTGCGCACTTATAAGCCTGTAACTTAGTTAATTATGAACCGAGTTTCAGTTTATTGCCGGGTTTAAAAAGAGGAAACTTGGGCCTTTCTAACGATATATATGTGAAGAGATCTGTGTGCATTTACCAAGCAAATATTTTTTTTTTNACATTTTTTTTTTACTTTTTTCACCTTTTTTAAATTTGGTGAGGTTTTTACGCAGTATTTTATAANCCTAACTTAGTTAGTTCATTACGAACCGAGTTTCGCTTTATTGCCGGGCTTAAAAAGAAGAGACTTCGGTCTTTCGAACGATATACATACATATACATATATGAATAAAGAAACCTTATGAGATCTGTGTGTATTTAACCAGAAAACACATTTTTTTTTTACTTTTTTCACCTTTTTTAAATTTGGTGAGGTTTTTACGCAGTATTTTATAAAAAAAACCATGCTAATCCTAAATTGATTGTAAAACTAAATTTAATACTGAGTAAAATAAGTGTTTATTTTAAAAAATCGGATGAAAGTTTACTGAGTTATTAAACTTTTTATGAAAACAAAATTTTTGCAAAAATATTATTTTCGACTATACTACTCAAAAACGTTTTCTTGACCGTTTTTTTCTTAATTAAGCATCATCAGTTTCTCGTTGTAGAATATTCTGAAATCATTTTTACAACCAAGCGCACTTGTGCACAAAGGTATTATAACTTTATTCACATAACGGTTGTTGGTAACAGGCAAAACGAATCGAGATAGATATAGACAAATGTATATGTAAATGATCATAATGAAAAAAGAAATCGATTAAGCGGTGATTGTCTGTCCGTGTGTGCATACGATAACTAGAGTAAAAATTGAGATATCTTAACGAAACTTGGTATGTATAAATCGGACAATAGCCACGCCTACCTCCCATATAACGGTAGTGAAGCATATTCACTCAAAATTGATATTTACAATGATTTTGAGACGAAAAATAATATANTAATGAAAAAAGAAATCGATTAAGCGGTGATTGTCTGTCCGTGTGTGCATACGATAACTAGAGTAAAAATTGAGATATCTTAACGAAACTTGGTATGTATAAATCGGACAATAGCCACGCCTACCTCCCATATAACGGTAGTGAAGCATATTCACTCAAAATTGATATTTACAATGATTTTGAGACGAAAAATAATATACATTTTTGAGAAATTTGCGTAGCCACGCCCACTTATGATTACATCTGTATATCTCAGTAACCGCTCCACCAATTTCCACCAAACTTGGCACGGTTATTGGCCAATGGCCTTATTATTATTAACCGACTTCCCAAAAAGGAGGAGGTTATCAGTTCGTCGGAATATTTTTTTTTTTTTTTTTGTATGTTACCGCATAACTTTGGACCACGTCAACCGATTTCGATAATTCTGCATCGGAAAGGTAGTGTCTCAGAGGTGGTCCCATACTAATCTGGTTGAGATCCGATCAGTGGATCATGAGATATATATATATATATATATTTTTTTTTTATGGGAGTTGAAGTCGGTTTTTTTTTTGCTAAAAATTACTTGTTTTTATTTATTTTTTCTTCCGAAACGTTTTTTAATTGTAGCTATTTCTTGGTGAAAATGTTCGCCTCGTTCATCACTGAACTGACCCAAACTATGTGGGAAGAAGTCGAAATGCAAATGGATGAAATGAATTTTTATGGACATCTTAAAGCCCATTCCACCCTAAGCATTCAAAAATTCGTTAACAACCGTGACATATGTAGTCGTCGCTTCTGTGGTTTCCAACAAAATTAATACATAGCGCTACAACTTCCATGCACGCTTTTCTACAGAGCTTAGCTTGTTCACAAAGCTCACTTCGCTCATAATTTTACGATTTTTTATTTTTGCTTCACATAATTTTGGGAATACCCCTTTAAGATGACAAAAAGCGTTGCTATTTACCAGTTTTGGCAAAATGTTAATCTGATTAACGATTAAAATGTTAATCGCGATTAACGATTAAAATTAATTAATCGTAATCATCTGTACGATTAGTGATTAAATTTTTTTAATCGTTAATCGTCGGTTGTGATTACGATTACTTAATTTTAATCATTAATCGTTAATCCAATTTTAAAAAAATCTGATTAAGTGGTCTAGTGTGTGCGAATTTGAAACCAAACACGGGTTATAGTTATTTTTTTTTGTGTTTCACGCTTATAAGAAACGCATAATATATAAAAAAAATAATAAGAATTATTAATAGTAATACGTAAATTGGGAATTTCTATAACCCATCGCACATGTGCAGAGGGATATTAAAACCTAGTTTGCTTAGCGTCTGTTAAATAGATCTTAATGAAAATGCACACCAAATTGCTTAGTTTTATGAGGAAAACCGACATTGCCATACCCGATTAACTGGCCTTGTGTGCACAGTAAAATTCCAGCATAAATTAATTAATCACCAAACCTACTTAATCAAATTAAGGGTTAATGATTAAAAATTAATTTTTTTAATCGCGGTTACGATTAACTGTTTAATCAGATTAAAATTAATCATGATTAACTGAAATCGGATTGAATTTAATCGAATTAACTAATTGATTAAAAAATCAATCGATTAATGCCAACACTGCTATTTACATCTAATTTTTTTACAATTATGGGTATTCTCGGAGTCTTGCTAAGACCTTGCACGGTGACTGGATTGCACGAAAAAAAACCGGTTTTCTTATGGGACAGCTTTTCAAACCGTGCAATCCGTGCACCGTGCAAGGCTTTGCAAGACTGTGAGAATACCCCTATAGTTTCATATATCCTAGGTTTAAATGCAGTGGTAGTAGGACAACATTTTGAGCTTTAACAATGGGACGTTTAAAACGTTTTTCCTGCTTTTCGGGATCTCGGAATGGTCATACTTTGGGATCATAGAAAACGTCAAATTAAAAAAAAGCGGGCAAGAAAACACATATGAGTTGTATAGCCACATATAATATTTTTGCAAAAATTTTGTTTTCCTAAAAAGTTTAATAACTCAGTATACTTTCATCCGATTTTTAAAAATAAACACTCGTTTTACTCGCTATTAACTTAAGTTTAAAGCCAATTTAGGACTAGTGTGGTTTTCTTATAAAATAAAGCGTAAAAAGCTCACCAAAGCTGAAAATAGGTAAAAAATTAAAAAAAGGTGTTTGATGGGTAAATACACACAGATCTCTTAAGGTTTCGTTATTCACAAATATATCGTTCGAAACTCGGCTCACATTGCACTAAGTGACAGGCTTATAAGTGCGCAAAAGTACGAAAACCCGGTTTTTTAACGGTAAATTAAGATTTTCGGGGTGTTTGGCAAATTTATTATTTCGATTTTTGTTTTACTCGAAAAGACCTACCAGAAAATATACATAACTTCCCAGGTATTTTTTAGTGTAGCGCAGTGTAATTAGTTTGGCGAGAAATATTTTTCCCCTGTATATCCAGGGCTTATATACAATACCCTTTAACAACAATTTTCACAAAAACTACTTTCTGATATTAGAACCCATCTGCGACTTAATCGTGAGCACTGCTTTCTATTCTTACAAGCGATATATGTACAAGGTCAGCATTAACATCACCGAAGACAGTTAAGTCTTAGATGGATTTTTATATCAGAATAAATTTTTTTTTTCTCAGAATTGTAGACTGAAGCTAATACATACTTATAAGCCGTCGATATGCATATTTCGCGCTTATACTTCTGCTAAGTTTTTGGCCTAGCGTCCCCCATGATTTGTGGTGTGCATCTTGATGTTGTTACACAAAAGGAGGGACCTACAGTTTTTCCCCGCTTCCAAACGGCAAATGAATGTTATAAAAAGTTTTATCAAGACAGAAATACGACCGGAGGATTAGCATTGTCTGCCGAAGGGCCACCGCTCTTTACAAAAACGTATTTCTATAATAAGGCTAAAATGCTATAACGTTTTTGGTTAAACTATCCGCACCGTACAGCAATAATTAATAACAAAAAAAATATTACAAATGTAGTCTCAAATCCAGGGAAATCTTACTTTGACTCGCCCTAAACCCATGCGCAAGCAGCAAAAGAGGTACATGCCCCCCGAAGCTCATCCTCGACCAAATAATTGACAAATCGTTTTATAAACATATTTTTATAATTTTTGGAATTTTCTATGCGCACTACTAAGGGTAAGAACATAGTGGAGCGGCGAGCAAAGAGCATCGAGCAAAGCGTCGATTTAAAAACGCATATGTTTCAATGGGAAAGCGCATAGTGAAGAGCAAAGCGTACATACACTTTTTTAATTGAAGCT